CCGCGGGCGGCACCGCCAAGAGCAGCGTCTCCGCCCAGGTGGAGCAGCTGCGGGAGCTGCTCAAGAGGCTCAAGGAGCAGGCTTAGAGTGTGGGGAGAGATCCCGTGCCTGCAGCAGAGTGCCTGTGCCACTGGTCTGGAGTTAATAAACACTGGGGTGTCTGTAGTTCACTGAAATCCTGCTCTCGTGTCTTGGTTTTTCGGGGTGAGGGTGGGCTGGGCTCAGCCCGGGTTTGGAAGGGGGTGGGCTCTCCTCCCTTCCTGCAGGGGAGGCTGGCAGATGGGGATTGTCCCTTCTTGCTCAGCAAAATTCCTTTCCCACCCCAGCCTTGCAAGGCTGGAGTTTTGCTCAGCCCCTTGTCCCCATGCTGAGGCAGCACAGCGTTGTTGACTCAGAGCTGCAGGGCTGGAACACACAGGGAACAGAAAGAACAAAGGTGTTGCCTCACCAAGTTTGGGGCAGGGGCTGCAGCACAGACAGGACAAACTGGCAGCAGCTAAATCTGCAGCCAGAGTACCCCAGGAGACACAGAGTGCTTGCACCTTTGGAGCATTTGTGCTTTTATCACATACAAGAAGGATCAGCAACAGCAAAATTCCCTTTTACCAACCCCTCACCACTCAATCTCTCCTTATTCTGGCCTTTAAACAAATCCATTCACTTGGCATTTAAACACCACATTTCAATTACTTTTCCACAAACCTCCTTGGTGTTTGCTCCCTTCCTCCCTGCTGTGCTCCTGTCTTGGCCCATGTCTCACTCTCCACACTGCTCACCTGGCCAGGAAATCACTTTTGCACTCTCAGCTGCCACGCTAAGGGAACAAGAAAGCCACAGGTAACACCAGTGCTCAACACCTGCAGTCAGAAGAACAGAAACTTCCCCCTCACAATTCTTTTTCCTCCTATAAACTTTCTTGATCCATGCCACTCCCCTTATTTTTCCTGTTTGTATCTTCTGGTTCCTTCTCTTCAGATCCTCAGCAGAACAGATTTTCTCCTGTTCCCAGCAGCAAAGTCTGGCATTGTCTCTCATGAAAGGAAAGGGGAAGCAGCAGACTACCACATTTCAGTCTCTTACCTAATTAAGTAGTTTACAGTTACTGGTACTTCCCATCCATCCACCCTTTTCTTAAAATTGTGAAATATTTCAGATTGCAGGGGCCTGTGGAGCTCCACAGACATCACAGAGAGTGGTCCATGGTGTCTTCAGATTTTCACCATCACCCTCCTCTGACTCATTGGGATTTGGGTTTTGGTCTCAACCCCTGCTCATTACAGGCCACAGGAAGGTGCTTGAGCCAGGAATTCACTCAGGCTGATAATCAGCTGGGTAGTTCTGGATGTAAATCTTGTGCTCACCATCCTTCCAAACCCTCAGCAACCTCCTGTCCAAGCTGCAGTGTGGACATCCATAAAGGATGAACATGAAAAAAAGAAACATTAAAAGTGAGAGACTGTAGAAGAAGAAGGAACCTGGCAACAAAACTGTTCAAGGAGTTTTTCTCAGTGTAGACAGTGTGATGGTGTGTGCATCCTCAAGCCTGCAAGTCTGAAAAAGAAATAATTAATGGGTGGAAATGTTTGAGAAGCAGTGAATTAATTGGTGGCTACATAGCGAGGCTGAGCCTTGTTCCGGATGGACACTGAGGGCACTACACGGGAAAAGCAGCTGGGAAAGGACCTTGTGGGGCCACCAGAGGCAGCCGGGTGTCACCGGCAGTGTCCTGCTGCTCCAGACAAGGACCCGAGCACCTGGATTAGGCTCCTTCCCAGCTGAATTACAACACAGGGGCTGGTTAAAGAACACCANGAACATTTGGAACACTGAAAGGCACCCAGGACTCCCTTTCTGCAAGCTGCTCCTTTGCGGGTTTTATCCTCATTTTACACGACAACGTCGTGGGCGCTGGAGCTGCTTCAAACGGTGACTGCAGACACTTTGTAGTTACAGGGGTGGCTTAGAGCGTGTGGCTCGTGCTGGCCCACAGCTCCTTGCCAGCTGAATATTTCCTTCCAGTCTCCCTAAAAGAATGGGAATTTTTTAGTATTTCAAGGATCAGAGAACAGTTTTCACAATATCCCTGACTCCTTTGCCTTTTAATTGTTTTTTTTTTTTGTCGAAGTCCATCAAAGGTTCAGAGATCAGCAGCTGCCTTAAAAGACAGTTCCATGCTGGTCTTGCACCCCACACCCCGATGTTTATTTTCAGAGAATCCTGCAGAATTCAAATATCTTGGAGGATCCCCAAGCCATACCTGTAACCTCAAGGGATAAATTCTAGTGAGGGTGACTCTTCTAGAATTCTAAGTCCAGGGGTTTGCTGGTGTAGACTGAATACAACCATTGCTGAGATGCTCCTCAGTTTTACTCTGATAAGGATGACATGAAGAGATTTTTAGGGGGTATATCCATAAATCTGTGTCTCTTCCCTTCATTTCTTGCAGGGGGACAAAATGATGGCAGGAAGGTTTGTGGGGAGCACAGATCCCATCATGGAGATGCTCAGCGCTTCCATTACTGTTGATCAGAGACTGTCTGAGGTGGACATCCAGGGCAGCATGGCTTATGCCAAAGCCTTGGAGAAGGCTGGAATCCTGTCCAAGACTGAGCTGGAGAAGATCCTGAGTGGCCTGGAAAAGGTATTTCTTCTCTTCACAACCTCTCATGTGTGCTGGAATGAATCTTTCCTTACCTGACAGCATCTTGCTGTTTTAAAGAATGCTTTTAAATGTCCTCGTGTGCTCTTCAGACTGAGCAGGCACTAGGAAATCATTTCAGTGGGAAGTAAGAACATCCTTACATCCTTTCCCTGTTGGCACGTGGAATTTTGAGCCTGGCTGCCCAGCTTGGCAGGAGGCAAAGCATAGCAGGTGTAGGGGGGAAGAGGAGGCAGCAGAGAATTGCTTTTATAAAATATCCATTGGTGTTGCTCACCCACCCTGGACAACGGTGAGTCTGTGCAATGTTCTGTAGGAAAAGCTTTGTGGATGATGCTAAAGAAATCACTGATATTTAGGCTCAATTTTTCCTTGCAATGCTGAAATCCTTCATAACACTGCAGGGTTATCATGGATAGAGAGCTGAATCCCACCAACAGTGTGGAATATCAGAATGCAGTGAGCAGCCTGAATGCCAGAGTTTGCATGAGACTTCTGGGAATGCCAGGAGCTGGGATTTGCTGGGGACACTCACAGCCCCAGGGTAACTGTGGTGTTTGTGCTGTTTGCAGATCTCTGAGGAATGGTCCAAGGGAGTGTTTGCTGTGATCCAGACTGATGAGGACATCCACACTGCCAACGAGCGCAGGCTGAAGGTTTGGCTCCTCCAGACTCTTCTTCCTCA